TGTGGATATTGTGCTGAAAGGTTACTGAGGTGCTAAGTGTGAGTTGAATCTACCTAGCTTGGGCCAGGAGGCCTGTTACAGTGTCCCTCCGTTTTTGTCTGTGCTAAATTTAGCATTCTGTGGCATTTGCAAATATTTCTTCTACCAACTGCAAATCTAGAACACAAAGACAATATTGTGTCAAGAACGATACATAAATAACCGGTATATGGGAGACTGAGTATTATGCCGACGTTTCGGTCGGACTTGGACCATTAACTAGCCACACTGTGAGAATAGTTAATGGTGCAAGACAGAACGAAACGTCCTCATAAGTTTTATTATTCTATGTGCTGGTTATTTGAGTAGAGAACCAAATATACCGAAGAAAAAGAATGAAAAAAAGCCAACGGCTGAATGAGCACTGGACTGAATAAGCCAGATGATTTTTCAGTCCAGTGCAGTGAAGAACGGTGGAAGATAAGGAGGAGTTTGAGATAATCAGTCCCTCAGCTTGAATCCACGTGCTGAGTTCATCATACAAGATGTTGTGAGGAGAGTTCTGGCAAACAAGTTGCTTACCTGGTACAGGGATAGCATCTCGGGCCCAGGTGAAGACGATAGGCAGGTCACCACGAGCAGGACAGGGTAGGACTAGACTCTCTCCCACTGCAGTAGACTCGTTCACTACACGTTCCTCTATGCGGGCGCCCTCTGTCACCCACCACAGCCACAGGTTATGACAATATAGGTCTCAAATGCCATGCAACAACAATATAAATAGGTTATTGTCAGCTTAACAAAGGTTATTTCACAACATACACGCACATTACAGTCAACACCACACACAGGTTACGCATACACACACACACACACACACACACATACAGAGGAGCTGTGGATCAAACTTTGCAACCACACATACCTGTGTTTGTATTTTGAGTGTATACACAGGTTACAGTCAGGGGTGACATCAGGATTTTTTTACTGGCAGGCTTGGGGGCTCTGGTTGGATAGAAGGCTAGAAAGACTTTTGGGTTTATAGAGCAAGCAAACTGTTTTTACTTGGTGTATATAATAGATCAATAAGAATAACAATGTACTATAAAAAAATTTATTTACACTTTACACGAATCAGAAAAAACTGCTGATATCAAAGAAAAAGAAAAATTACGTTTAGTTGGATCAATAATTAAACTGCCATCAAAATACTGTTGTTTACATATCCATCAATGGTATGAAGGATTTCTTAATAGATTCTTTCTACTCTCAAATTAGAGATTCATGACAACTGGAAAGTTACAGCAGTGTGATTCTTCTATTGTTATGGTTGGAAGGAAGACTGTCAGTGATACTGTCATCACTGATTCTTTCCCTATATATAGATACAGCTGCAACATCACTTGTTCTGCTGTCGCTACTGCTGTTCCTCAAATATGGTTTCGTCACTCACAAGCAGAGAAAGACTACTTTCACATACTGCAGAATTATCTGGTAAAGTCACACTTATGCGAACCAGCTTGTACAGCTGCAGGAAAGCTTCAAGGTTTGGTCTCAGCCTAGTAGCAATTTCAAGTGAATTTGCCACATTATGATCCTGTTTTTTTTATAATCTCGGAAAGACGTTGTCCATGAGGCTCAATACTTAAATTTTCCTCATTGATACCATAGTTAAATACATTTCCAAAATACAAGATGACTCTAGAAGTGAAGCTCCTTGAGGATTCACCGTTGAAGAACCTTTAGTTTGCTGTATAAGTTGCTTGAAAATCATTGTGCAAATGGTTCAGAAAACCGACAAGTTGATACACTGTTGCATCACTTTGGTATCTTTATCAAGACTGATGGATTGAGCACATTGACTTCAGACTGAAGGACTGACAACCGGAAATTCTCTCTCATCTTCCACCATTCATCACTGTATTTGACTGAGGAAGCCAATGGCTGGCGAAAACGTTTCCACAGTAAAGATACAAGTTTCTCATTCCTTTGCTAAAAAAATCTCCTGTTTAATTCACTGGCCAACATGTCTATGACAGGAAGGTAAACAAGCGCCCAGAACGCGTCAGAAGTAGTTATTTTCTGACAGTTTACAAGTCGAGACTCAACAACAAACTCTTATAAATGACGTGAGTAAGAACACTGTTATGCATCAATGTCAGCAGCTTGACGTAAATGTACTGCATACTGAAAGATTTTCTGCCATGAATTTTCAAAGCGTTTTCCTGTAGGCCAGATAAAACTAACTTCACTGTAGGGGTGATTTCGAGTGATATAAATGAGACTGTGCAAGTGTCTCGCTTTTGTTATCCTGTGTGAATTTGGAATTTTAATAACATCTAGAAGTTGCTGGTAATGTCAATTTGGCAGCTAAACAAACAGTGCCTTGACACGACCATTTTCTGTCTGGTAGCCTTTAAATTCTACTGGATATATGAACGAATCAAGATCCATCTGATGTTTTTTTCAGAAACGTGTTGTGCACAAATGATCCGTGTGATGAATGGTTTTGAAAACCGACAAGTTGAAGAATTGAGACACTTATGCAACACATGGGAATCTTTATTGAAGAAACGTTTCGCCACACAGTGGCTTCCTCAGTCCAATACAAAGTAGAAATGGGTAAGGAGAGTAGAAGTTTGAGGTAATCAGTCCCTCAACCTGGAATCGATGTGTTCAGTCCATCACTCTTGTAGGAAGTGCAGCATAGGGCCAGAGAGGTGGCTTATATACTGCGGTGAGATGAGTTGTATTGGACTGATGAAGCCACTGTGTGGCGAAACGTTGCTTCAATAAAGATTCCCATGTGCTGCATAAGTGTCTCAATTCTTCAACAAACGATCCGAAAAAAATAGCTACATAAATTCTGGATTGTGTCATAGAAATTGTCCACTATCCGCGTCATGGAAATGGTCCACTATCCGAATGATGTGAACACACTATACCAATGCTAAGTTTACCCTGTGATCGAAAAACTGAACATACACAGCTTGTGGAATTATTCTGTACCTTTGTACACCGTTGCTACAACTTGACATTAAAGGAGCACTATCGTAGCACTATCGTAGCACTATCAAATACACATATTTTTGTCTGTGATGCAAATTGAGTGAGTCTCCGATTTTCTCTGGGAGAGAATCAACATCCCAACCATCTGTTGCTGACAAACTTAGTAATAACTAATGCAAGTCTGCATAATACAGATACCGTAAAACAACAGATATCCTTTTATTTTGCTAACATCTTTTGTTTCATTAACAAGTAAAGCAAACCGTCCTGTTATTTTAAACTACTCACTGATTTCTTTCCTGACTATAATTACCATAATACTGATGTCATCATTTCATAGATCATGATATTGTGGTTTGTTGTGACAAACAGTGAATCGTAGACACTCAGTAACTGCTCTGGCGTAACACCTCTTGCGTAGACAAACTCTTCACAGAACCCACAAGTTGATAAATTAAACCCATGTGCAAGTCTTGGGTATCTTTATTGTGGAAAAGTTTCCATACACAGTGGCTTCATTAGTCCAATACAAAGAAGAATGATTGAAAATCAGAAGGCGTTTGAGGTAATCTGTCCCTCAGCCTCGAGTCGATTTAATCATTCCATCATTCTTGAAAAGATTGATGGTCTTCAGGCTGAACGAAGCCGCTGTGTGGCGATGCGTTACCTCAGTAAACATACCCAAGAGTTGCACATGTTTCTAATTTATCAATGGCTGTTCTCTTGGACTTTATTTAAATGAGCAGCTTCCATAAGATTTTGTTTCCTCGATCCTGTTAGTTTCTGGTTTCTGAATTCAGTGCAAGATTCCCTGGCGTACTTGTGTGTGGTAATTGTTTTGTGCCTTCTCAGAGATGGCTTTCTTTCCAGCCTGTGAAACCATCATAAGTAAGAGGAGTCTCGCGACGCCCCCCCCCCCCACTCCACCCCATTCAAAGTTCTGACTTAAGTAGCGACAAGCAAAGCAATAAAACAATTCCTCCTCAAATGAATATACAGAACAACAAAACAAATAATGTGTTAAATAACAAAGCAAGCCACAATACCGTGACTGGAACGATACACAAATAACCCAATGGCAAATAATCCAAGACGGACCGAAACGTCGTCGTAAGCTCCTCTCTTCTACGTGCGGGTTATTTGTGTAAATAATGTGATCTTTAACTTAACAACAAGTCAGTAGGCCTGCTGCAGTGTTCCTACGTTCTTCAGTTCTGATATGAACACAGGAGCACTGTAAGATAACTATTGCGTTTGCTGACCAATAGTCGGTATAGACATGAAATATTGTGCAACATTTGGGTATCATTATTCTGGAAATGTTTTATCTTGTAGGTTCTGTCAACCATTTATTCACATCCTGTCAGACACACCAGCATCTTGGGATCCTGATGTATGAATTTCTTTAAAAGTTGTCTAACCTATATTCACGACTTACTACTAGTGACTTTGTTCACTGGTGACTCCGCCTACCACTGCTTCACCTCATCAGTATATAAGCTCCATCTCTGCAAATATACTGCGCTTTTGTCGAGATCAATGGACTAAACACATCGACTCTAGGCTAAGGGACTGATTACCTGAAATTCCTCCTCATCTTCCATCTTTATCTGCACTCGACTGATAAAGCCACTGCTTGGCGAAACGTTTCATTTATAAACTGGTCGATTTTGCAAACCATTTAATCATATCTGGTAGAGACGGAGATTTATATCTCACTATATGTTGAATATCTGATGATTTTCATCACCGGAGGAGCTTTAAGGTTGTTAGGTATAAGGAACACAAGTGCAACTAATACTACACTTAATTGTGGCAACGTTTCGCTCTTCAGTGGGAATATGAAGGTATTAGAGTAGTATATATATGCATACCGTAATTACTGAAGGTGGTAGTAGTACCGGTAGAAGGATTAGTGGTAGTTGTATTAGTACCACTATTAGTAGTACTAGTACCACTAGTAGTAGTACTAGAACCATTAGTAGTACTAATACTAGTAACACTACTAGTGGTTCTACTACTAGTAACACTACTAGTAGTACTACTAGTAACACTACTAGCAGTACTATTAGTACCACTACTAGTAGTACTACTAGTAACACTACTAGTAGTACTACTAGCACTACTACTAGTGGTAATAGTACTACTAGTACCACTAGTAGTATTACTACTAGTAGTACTAGTACCACTACTGCTAGTACTAGTGGTACTAGTACTACTAGCACTACTAGTACCACTAGTGCTAGCACTGCTAGTAGTACTACTAGGAGTACTACTAGTAACACTACTAAGAGTACTACTAGTAACAATGCTAGTAGTACTACTAGTAGTGTTTCTAGTACTACTACTAGCGGCACTATTAATAATACGACTACCACTAGCAGTAATACTACTAGTAATAGTACTACTAGTAATACTAGTACCACTAGTAGTAGTACTAGTACAACTAGTAGTACTAGTACTACTAATAGTAGAACTAGTAAAACTACTAGTAGTACTAGTACTACTAGTAGTAGTGCCACAAGAAGTAGTATAACTGTGTGATAAATGGCTCTGAAAACCGACAAGTTGAAGACTGAGACACTTATGCAACATATGGGAATCTTTATTAAAGAAACGTTTCGCCACACAGTGGCTTCATCCGTCCAACACAGAGCAGATACGGGTAAGGAGAGGAAGAATTTGAGGTAATCAGTCCCTCAGCC